TCTTTTAGTGCCCGAGACTTCCAAATTCCATGGTGCCTCCCTTTCTTCTCCAAGGCTAACTAATCCCCTAAACCAAGGGCCAGCAAACCTTTCCTGTAAAGGGACAGATGGTAAATACCTGGGCTTGGCAGGTCATTTGGTCAGTTTGCTGGAATGCACATGGGCATAGTTATGTCCTAACAAAACTTTACTTATGACAATGAAGTTTGAATTTCGTATCATTTTCACATGTCAGGACATGTTATTGTTTGAACTTTCTCCTCCAATCATTTAAGAGTTTAAAAACCACTGTAGCTCATGAGCTATATAAAAACAAGTGGAGGGCTGTGCTTGGCCCTTGGGCTCCATGCACGATTGAATCAGTGTTGCGGCTCAGTTAGCCAAATTTATAGGCTGCAAGTCTTTTACTGATCACAGTTTTCTGCCTAATCCAGACAGTTTGTCCTATCCTCCAAGCATGGCAACAGCTTGGAACACCTCCAAAGCAGGCTTATCTTTTGAGGTAGATTGACTGGAAGGTGCAGGAAAGATACCTTCCTCCCTGCCTGCCCAGAGTGCTGCGCAAGGTTGTTCTCTTTCAACTCTAAACTGGTTTCCCCAGGTCTGCTACATTTCCACGCATGCTCTGCTCCAGCCATGTGCATCAGGACCTTGTAAAAGCATCCCAGCCTCTCCTGATAGGAGCAGGCCCATCAGTCCTTTTTTGTTCAGCTCTCAACTCCAGTGTTGCCAGAGTTCCAGAGCCAGTCTTTTTATAAAGGGAGACCTTAAATGCAAGGAAGGCTGGGAAGAGTTCAGCCAAAGGCAAATTCTGGGAGAAGAGGAATTTTAAGTTACCTTGAGAGAGAGGGAGAGGGGCAAGGATGAAAGGAGGAAGGCGGCCTAGTGCACAGACTCTTAGCGCCTGCTGTTCCAGGCAGAAGCAGGAGAGGGTGAGCTGGGGCAGGTGACAGTGAGCGGGGAGCCACACCTGAAGGCCATATGAAGTGAGACAGTAATAAGTCCGGGGGGTTAGTCAGGGTGTGACATTGTGTATGGGTTGTTCTGCTATGTCCCAGAAACCCCCTGATTCAGAGTAGCTTGAGGTAATTTAATGTAATGGTGTGGGAGGAGAACTCAAGGACCTTGGCTTCTAGATCTAATTTTTTTTTAAAGATTAATTTATTTATGCATACAAGAGCTGGGGTATAGGCCAGAGGCGTGGGAGGGTGAGAGGATTCACCAGAGACAGAGTGGGGAGCAGAACAAGTGGATCTACTGAAACACACTGCTGAGGGGAGCAGCGGGTGAGACAGGAGAGGCCTGCTGCGCCATGTGGGTAGCTCCTTGGCCGGCCAGGATTGAACTCAGGCCGCAGTGGCTGCTGATAGCTTGATAGTGCTGACTTTAACCCCTGCACCACTAGGGAGGCCCACTCGCCCTATTTTCTAACTCATCCTCAGTCTTGTGTTATTCCTTCGTTTATTCACTTGACAAACATTAAGTAATTCCTCCAAGAGCCAGGCATGTTTGGCTTGGGGAAAAGTTGAGTGGTTGAGGGAAAGAAGAGAAAGGGAGGATGTCAGATCATTTTCGTGTTCTGTCTTCCACACAGTAGGAGAGAGGTGGCTTGCACATGCACACCCTTTGCACACAACTGCCAGCCCAGGAAGAGCGTGCGGAATGCTTCTGGGATAACGAGTTCAGGCAAGGGGGAGGTAGCGGTGGGAAGGAGGGGACACTGGCAGAAGTTCTGTGGAAGAGAATTTGAACTGGCTCTCAAAGGACAGGGAATATTTGGACCTGTGAAATGTGGGGGTCAAGCTGTATAGGATGAAGTGATGCTGTGAGTAAAGAGGGGTTAGTACAAAGGAATGGGGGGCTATGCAGACAAGAGCAGGGGGCTCAGTTGGGTGCATCTTCAGTGGCAGTCTTACCCCTTTGGGGCAATTTTTCTCTCTGAGTCAGTCTCATGCACAGAAGAGCTCGTAGCATCCCTGCCGGGTCCCCTCCCCCTCGCCCTGTCCTTTTCACTTGCATTTTCAAACAACAGCCCCACCCAGTGGGAACCATTATGGTTTGTGAGGCAAGCAGTACTGTCTAAAGTTGGATGAGAAAGGTCGTGAGAGGTGGCCAGGCCGCAAAGGGCCTCGATCACCAGGACAAGACATTTGCCCTTAATTAAGCAAACAACCAGTGGCAGGAGGTTTCTCAGTGGGAAGGGGGTGAGATTTGCTTTAGAGAAATGAAATTTGGGGCAGTGTGCAGGGTGAACCGGAGGGGAGGCCTAGGAACAGTGGGGAAACCTGCAGCCTCCTGTGACCTCACCAAGTTGTTTTCAGTCAGGGTGGGCTGCAATTATTGGCAGGTAGCAAAGTTCAAGGGGAGGTGCTAAGGCTACACCCCCCCCCCCCCCCCGCTGGTTGCTGACCGTCCTGTTAGAATAGCATTTGCTAAATCAAGATTTGACTAATATTCCAATGTCTCACCCTATCTCAAATATACCCACCTGGGGAGGACCCCAATACCTTTTTCTCTGCCACTGGTCCACACTGGCAAAATCTGCGTAAAAACTAGCAGAAGTGAGGAAAATGGCAACCCTTTGAGGGTTTTTCTCTCCCCTGCCTGTCCAGGGTCTACCACCCTCAGAGCCTGAACAAGGGGTCCATTCAGCCCGGCAGAAGAGAAGGGAGAAGACTCTCCCTGCTTGGCCCCTTCCCTAGCCAGGACAGGACATAGTTTTTGATCCAAGGCCCAGAGAATCCCATGCTTGATAAAGACCCATTGTGGTAGCCTCTGGAGAAATCCAAAGTCAACAGGGGACTCTGGGGCACAGCAGCCAGTTAACAGTCCCTGAACATTTGTGAAAAGAATTACTCGGCGGAAGTCAAGGCAGAATGAGGCCCCTGGGCTGCCAGTGGCACCATCCCTGGCAGGGAGGCTAACAGCAAAAGCAACAGGAAGGGGGCCTGCCTGTGCCGAAAGGACCGACCTGAAGGCAGGAGGCACCCAGAAGCCGTGGAAGGCTCCCCTCCAGACACTGGAACATGAAACCCAATCTCCTGCCAAATGCAAGAAACAACTGCTCCTTTAAGAAGGGCCTGGGGAAGAGAGAAGAGCCTCCTGCCCCATCCCCCAAGTGTCCAAAGCAATAAATGGCAGGAAAGGAGGAAGGCCGAGGGGTGGAAGCGGCCTGGAACCTATTTAGGAGTTATGCTCATTCTGCTCCAGTCTTTAACTTGCTGTGAGTCCACGCACCTCATCATTCTCAGATCTTGCTGCTCTTACTGCAGAAACACAAGTAGCAAGAGATGTCCCAAGGTTTGAGATGAGTGATGCTTGGGGAGATGGCAGGGAGAGGGCTAGATGGGGGGGCTTCAGTGGGAAGTTTGGGGTAGAGCTGAGGGCTGGGAGCCCATCACATGTGTGTGCCCCCAGGGGTTGGGGAAGGACCAGATTCCTGGAGGGGGAGGGTACAGGAATTGGGAGAAGTCAAGCCAAGTCCTAAGTGTGCATCTTCTGCCTTTCCCGGCACAGTTGGCCCTATCACGCGGGGAGGGGAATGCAGAGTCCAGGTCAGAGGGCAGTGCGGTGTCCTCTGAAAGCCTGCTCTCCATGGCCAGGTGGTGAGCCTGGGATGACAGAGCAGAGATTAAAGAACAGTCAATGCCTGTGCTCCCTGCTTTATTCCTAAAAGGACTGGAGGTGGTGACAGACACAGTTCATCTCTAAGAAGTCTGCCCTCCCTTCCCAACATGGAAGATGCACACACCTGCCCTGCCTCGCCGGTGCCAAGTCACGGTCACATCAAAGCCAAGCAGAATAAGCAACACACACCCGCAGCAGAGCACAAAGCCATCTAAACCGAAATAGAGTGGGCACTAGTCCACTCACTAGAAGGCTCGTGAATCACTTTGGACCCGGGCAGCGTTGCTGAGTGGGCCGACTCCGTTTGGAGCAGTGATACCAAAAGCTGTGGAGGAAAGGTAACTAACCTCTCTGCTCACCACTGCCACCTAAGAGCCTATCTCATGACAGACCTCACCTGACACCACTGAGATTTGTTACAGGCTGGTGAAGGATGTGGAACACAAGTGTTTTTCAGAAACCAAAGCACTTTCTGCCTTGCTGGAGCCTGTCCCAGCTGGTGATACACACGTGCACACAAAACTGCTAGAACGCTCTGTTCTGATCCTGCTGCTCCCACAAACACAAAAGCAAACCCAGAGGACTGAGCTGGAAGATCTGGGTATCATTTATTGACGGTAGTTTACACACATTTGTTTTCCTCCTGGGGCTATTTCCTTCAAAGCACAGGCAGAGCCCTCTAGAAGGGCAGTTTCTGACCGAGGGAGCCAGGAACGCAGGATGCACGTCTTTGGCAGGCATGCTCAGCCCCGGCAGGATGCAATCCTTCAAGTTGGAATTCCACTGGGTATCTGAGCCACCAAGGTGGGAGTGGAGAGGAAGTCTTCTGCAGGGCTCATATCTCGGTCCAGGCCTGCTCTCACTATCCAAGTTCTTCCCAGTTTTAGGACCCTGGGGGGCCAGCAAATCAGGCCCACCCACCTTCACAGGGTAGATTCTTCAATCCATGCCCTGCTTGTACACACCTGTTTCCGCCGGCCCCAGTTAGAGGATCAGCCTTAGGGTAACTGACAGACCACTTCCTCTCTGACTGCCCCCCTCAGCACCTTTTCAGCTGGGTCTGTTTCAGGAACCGCTGGAAAAAATTGGGGCCTGCCCTCTTAGCTCAGCTGTGTGTGCCAACTTCCTCAAAGCTTGAATAAATGGTAAGCTGGAGGTTACAAGTTTACTCAGGCCAACGACTGTGTTCCCAGGCCATGACACACGGCCCTGCCTTTCTTCTGCCAATTGCCAGTGCCACGGCTGGCATACCAGCAGACCCCAAAGCCAGGAGCCAAGCAGGTCTGTGTAGGCACTTGGCAAATTTTGGTAGGACAACAGATAAAAAAGTGGATGGAAATGAGAATGAAAGAGTTTCATCCGATAGAGTAATTAGAGTTGAAGTGATTTTACTTTTATTTCCTTCATTTTAAGCCAATCATGAAATTTCACAGTGATTTCTGGGGTGGGGCAGAAGGAAGGCGGTGTGAAGACCCACTGGAGCTATGGCCCGGATGGCCCAAGGAGGCGCGGGCGAGCTGCCTCACTGGGGCAGCTGGAGCAGCACTGACTGCCCAGCCGGCAGGTAGGTAATGTTCCGAGAGCGTGAGAGCTGGTAGGCGATGTCCTCCGCGGCTTCCAGCTTGCGCAGCTCAATCAAGCCGTCGCCCGCAGTGGCCAGTGAGTTGGCAATCAGCTCTGCAGCCTTGGAGTCGCCCTCAGCAGAGATGATGGCTGCCTTCTTCTGTTGCTCAGCCTAGGAGAGTGGAGACAAGAGGACACCTCAGGTCCTGGGTGGCGGACGGCAAGCCTTGCCGAGACCAGGTGAGGAACTTTCACTGGTTCTTGCCCTCCTCATCACCACCTGATCCTCCTCTAATCTGTAATGCCCACTTCTCATCATTGGAGGGATTGTTCTGTCAGCCACACAAACATCTGTCTTATTTCAAAGGCCTCATTAATATTAATAGCAATCCAGTCCAGCCACTCTACGCCGGGCCAGGAGGCCCAAGGCCAAGGAAAACAGGAGATAAAAAGGCGGGATCAATCTCAGGCTCATCTTTCCCTCCAGTCCCAAGTCAAAGTGACTTTCATTAAAACCAGTGTAGGGCTTCCCTGGTGGCGAAGGGCTTAACGACAGCACTATCAAGCTTTTGCCAGCCACTGCAGTATGAAGTTCGATCCCCAGCTGGCCAGGGAGCAACCCACATGGCGCAGCAGACCTCTCCTGCTCCCCTCAGCAGTGTATTTCTGTAGCTCTGCTTGTTCTGCTCCCCACTCTGTCTCTGGTGAATCCTCTCAACCCTCCTCCCCGGCCCTGGTACCTCAGGCCTGTACTCCAGTTCTTGCATGCATAAATAAATAAATCTTAAACAAACAAACAAACAAACAAACAAAACAACCATGTAGCTGAAGAGGATCAGCAGACACGTGTGATTCTCCCAAGAGTAAGCTGTGAGCTACACTGGTTCTCAGTCAGGAACCCAGAACGAGACCGACACTTTTCCTACTGATAGGATGCCATCAATAGGACATGCAGCCGTGACCTTCAGAAGTGTGGGAGGAGAGCACAGTGCAATCCTCTCTGAAACTAACACCTAGTTTTGATACTGCTAGGCCAGGCCTGCTCACTCAACACATTTCCTGAGTACCGAGTACCCCAGGCAGTCTTAAGATGTGTTCCAAACTCTGGAGACACGCAGATACAAAGCAGAGAGCCCATACAAAGTTTACTTTCCCTAAAATTAATTGCTGGTCATCCATACATCTGTTTTCTCCGATTCTAATGAAGGGGTCTTGGATTAGAAATACTAGGTCCAAGAGAATTAGTGGTGAGAAGAGGACAGCATAAACAAACTGGCGCAAAGACCAAGAAGACCAGGCTGCTACGCGAATACACTGTATCCCATCACACTCTGATACATCTGGATGGATTTAGTGCTTGAAAAAAAACAGTGAGGATAGCGCATCTGGCTCAACTGTTTGATCCTTTTTGCTGTCAGCTTTCACTGTGTAACCACAGTTAAAAATGACTTCAGCTTCTGAGTGAAGCTGAAAACATTCCAGGAGAAACATTTTTATTTGTAGGAGGGTGTTTTTGATCTTAGGGAAGTGGAAAAAAAATTACCCTTCAGTGATTTAAGAACATAACTTCACATATCCCTGACTAGCCCCCAAAGACTCTGGAACCAATTGCAGGGTATGGTCCCTTCAATCCCCTTCCGATGATCCCGGAAGGAGAGATGACAGATGATGAATTTCCAGGCCACCCAGCAAACGGGGAGGCTGAGCACAGGAGGAGGGAAGAGGCTCCCGCCATCTGGCTGAACGCTCACCTTTTCCACCACAAATCTGGCCCTCTCTGCTTCCTGCTGAGCCACCTGTTTGGCTTCTACCGCTTCTGTGAACTCCTTCCCGAAGGTCAGATGTGTCTAAGGGGAGAGAGTGAGCAAAAGATGAGGCAGCGTAATTGCTTCGACAGTGCGGCTGCAAGGCCTCCATGCCACTGCAGGAAAAGCCCAGGAATGGCTCTAGCAGCTGGAGGAACGGCGAGCCAGAACACGATTCCACCTCCACATCATGTCTACACTGAGTTCACACCCCAGAATCCTTGGCTGCCCAAACTGTTCCTGCACCTCATTCTGTCACCCTGACTTGGGCTATCTCAAGTAGAAAATGGCTCGTGGCCCCAGAAGGTAGCTGCTCCACTGACCACCTCTCTAAGGTAGACCGTGGGTTCTAGAACCCCCATACTGAGTAGTGTTCCTCCAAGGTCCCCTGATGGTCTGTCTGAAGGCTCCAGGGAAGCCAGATGGAAAACTGAGCCCCTGAGAAGGGGCTGTGCAGCAGGTCTGACGCTCTCTGGGCCTGATGCTCTCTGCTTATGGATTAACCAGTCCAATCCTTCTCAAGGCACCTCCACCACAAAACAGGAAGAGAGAAGATAGACTGCAAATCATGGTGTTCCCATGTGTGAGTGCTCTGGAAAAGGGATTAAAAGAGAAGGCAGGTAAAGCTATTGCCTAGGGTGAGTCTGAAGTCCGACTGCCCACTGACCTCCCCATGGCACACAAAACCGAGCCTTGGCTGAAGTGACTGTCTCCAATGACAGTGCAAAGAAGGGGAACAGGCGGCAGAACTCCTAATGCCTAGCCTGGAGCAATCTACTCACTAATCCAATTTCTTATTAAGAAAGGAAGAAATAAAGAATAACATTGGTTTTGCTATTAAATCCTGTTGCTTTCATTTCCTCTTCCACCCACCCAATCTGGGCTGTTTGTTTAATATAAGTAGTTCAAAAGTCCTGAAGAGTGAATCCTTATCCTACAGATCTTCCAGCATTTTTAATGTGCCTAACTCTTAAACTGCAGCTATTCTACTTAGCCTGCTCCACTTCTGGACTCCTGTTCAAAGTTTGTGGAAGAAGAGACAATCCTGAGAAATGAAAAGTGAAATGTGTAATTAAAGAATAACATTTAATTCTAAAGGGGCCAGTGGAGGGCAGCAAATTCCCCATGAAATCTAATTTTTTTCTCACCCCTCCTAGGTAAGGTTTCTTGTGGTCAACCCACATTTCCCCAGAATAGAGTAGGTGGTTAAAACAAAATGCCAAATTTCTCCTTAGGTTTTTATTTAGCATCGCTCACAGCCAAGGTGCTTAGGTTAACAGTAAGTGGAAGAGTGGGAGGAACTGTTCTTGTCGGAGCAGCCAAATGGCTGCAGCCGGGCATCTTGCCAGTAGAGGGAGCCCAGACCTTCCACGGAAGGCAACGAAAAGCGGTGGAGCAGTGCCCTGTGGGTCAGCACTGGGTGTTGCAGTGTGTGACTGTTTAAACAGCTGCACAGACGCTGAGGTGGGAAACGGTGCTGGTCCCCAGCGATGCACAGGAGAACTGAACAGGAAACACTCTACCTCACTACCCGAACAAATCACTCCAAATGATTTTTCCCAGAGAATCTGGAAACACGACCCTTTCCCCTCACCCTCGATCTGAAATGCTATCCTGCCTGCACTGCCTTCTGTCTGAGTTATGGCATTCAAAGTCACATAAATACACAGGCTATGGAGTCTCCAGAGGATAGCTTACGCCTCCAAGATGTCCCTTGCCCCCACACCAGGCTTTGGGGGAAGAGAATGATTCATTTACACTCTATTACCTTTCATGGGGGTTGACCACTGTGCTTTAGACCCTAACTATTAGGAAATTCCTAAGGGTCAGGCAGGGAAGTCTGCGCTGGGGAGAAAGGCTATCCAAGCAGGTCTCCAGTCTCCACTAGGCAGCTTGTGACTGTGTCAAACAGGGTTAACAAGACAACTCTTCCTGGGGAGCTCTGGAGGACACTTGGGAGTTTGGGGAAGGTGAAAAATGCATATGGCAGAGGGAACGTAAAGGAAGCCTCTTCTGAAGATAAACCAGTGGAGACTGCTCCATGACACAAGAAATTTCTGTTTTCAAGTGTCACACTGAGGAAAGTGGGGCAAGATCTAACAGCATATCCACAATGGAGCCAGACACCTACAGGAGAAGCACAGCTCCTTCCTGGCAGGTTCCCCAGGGATCTTACCAAGGACACATCATCCAGGATTAGCCCAAAGGTTGCTGCTCGCTCCGTAAGGTCATCGCTCACCTGCCTGGAGACCAGTTCTCTCTGGGTGATTAGTTCTCCAGCATCAAAGCGAGCCTGTTTCCAAGGGAGGGCAGAGGAGCAGGACAAGATGAAGAGGAAGCAGAAAGTCACCAGGACACGAGCCACATCCCTAGTCACCCACTGGCAAGCCCTCCCTGCCACCTAGCAAGCTCTCAGGGCTTGTGCTTTGGGCTCAAGGCAGAGGTCCCATTCACTCACCACCACTGACTTGAGGATTTCTGTAGTGATAGATGGCAGGACACGCTCATCATAGTCCTCTCCAATGCTGGTGAAGATGCGGGGGAGCTGGCTAGCAACCGGCCGGAAAAGGATGCGCAGGGTGATGTTGACATTCTGTAAATCTTAGGGTAGTAGACATATATTGAACTTAAAGAACACAATGGCCTTTTCTATGATCTCTTCCCACCCAAACTTGCTATAATTTACAAGTCAGGTAGTTGACTGTCAGACACTACATGGCAAGGAAGGTATCCGCGTGGTTCCCATGGGGGGAATCACCACACCACCGCAGGCTTCTTTCTGGTAATGACAACTTTTAGTATGTCCTGAATATAAATGATTTCCTATGTCCTGAACAGAAGTGACAGCAGTGATTTTGATTATATGTCTAATTGGTGCCATGGGATGTTTGGAACATTAAGTATTTTAAGATACAGGCCAATGCCAAGAATTTTAGGGTAAGGCCTTTCCAAGCCCTTGAATGTGGTCCAAGTCAGGAGTACACCTTGGAGAGATTCCAGGGGTCCAGGAGAAATGGCCCACTTTGGGCTGGGCTAGCTGTCCAGAGGCCCGGGCTGCAGGCCCACTCTGCTCCTCTTACTACTTGGCCCAGGAAAGGATCCAGATTGGGAGTTACAACTTCCCTTACCACGGAGGCCTGCGTGGCACTAAAGCAGCATCACAGCTTGCTTGCAGCTGTCAACATTACGGACCAAGGCCCATGAAATAAAGCCCCGAGCCAGCCACCAAGAGAACATAGATAAACAAGTTCCCATTCTTCAGAAGTTCTGAAGTTTGAAGGTTGGGCAGATTATGTAATAAACCCCCCTCACCCCCACAAACACAGAGCCTGACCAGCTCAAACCTAAGTTCCTCACAGGAGCCTGCCCAGCACCTGGGGAAGCTGGTGCACGCTCTCTTCCCTACCCTGGGCTCTAGCACATACCACACTCTGCTCTACTTGTTTGCACGAGCATCTCCCTAGCAAGAGTGCACCCTCGAGGTCCTTCGTTTTAGTCATCTTTGAACTAAGCACACCCTCCAGTCCAGCACAAAGACAGTAAGCAAACATCTGCTGAGGAGTGGCCCTGAAGTGTCATCAAAGTAATCAACCAACACTCATGTGACCCTCCCATTTTCCTGCACAGAAAAGTCACTGCTGAGCCAGCTCCTGCCATTCCATTTACAGCCTGCGCACCGCTTTGTGTGGGGTGGGGGAGAAAAGCAACAGCCACTCATTTTAGGCTCCAAATGGAAATCCTGAGGCATGTGAGACTCCAGGAGCCCACTCTCAGGGATGTGGGCCTGTCTGTGAGATAGCAATGTGAAGTCCCGGGGGCCTTGGAAAGCAAGGAAAAGGGTAAGACAAGCAGGAGGGCCAGAGACTGATTTATATAGTCAATCTAGGGTACAAGAACTGATGGGAAGGATCAACTGAGGGAGCAAAAGGCACATTTGATTTCTTTAAAATTAAATCACTATGTAATTCTTTGTCTATTTCTCTCAACTTGCCCAGTGTGTTGGGTCTCCTTAGTGGCACAGGAGTTAAAAGTCTCAGTGCTATTAAGCTATCGCCAGCCACCAAGTTCGATCCCCGGGCAGGGAGCTGACCCACATGGTGCAGCGGACTGCTCCTGTCTCGCCTGCTGCTCCCCTCAGCAGTGTATGTCACTAGATCCACCTGTTCTGCTCCCCACTGTCTCTGGTGAATTCTCTCACTCCTGCACATCTGGCCTACACCCCAGTTCTTGTATGCATAAATAAATAAAAATAAATCTTTAAAAAAAATGGATTTGTCCAGTGTGGTCCTTAGGTACATATTTCTATGAATCCATAAAAAACACTCCAGGGCAAATAAACCAGGAATTATTATAGCAAGGTGAACCTCTTCTGGGTCCTGATGTCCCACAAATGCTTCTGGAACTGACAAAAGTGTACAGCACCCCCTTCCACATGCTCTGCTTCACCTGACCCACAGGCCAGACTCACCTTTGCTGCCAGTGATTACTGGCACATTACGTGGCCGAGAACGGCAGTCAAAAAGAATTGGTTTTTGCACCCAAGGGATGAGAAAGTGAGTTCCTTCCCCTACCACGATGTCCTGCACACCACGGAACCGGTCAAAGATGACAGCTCTGTGCCCAGCATCCACTAGGAGTAAAAGTAATGAAGGGTCAGAGAAATTTCCTCACCCTTTTAACTAAAATGATCACATCTTTGAAAGACCCCCCCCCACCTGCTGCTTTCTGTTCACTTATTAAGTCTCCCCTCTCCTGCTCAGACCTCTGATCCCCAAATGCTTCTAACTAGCTACAAAACTAAGCAACTATTTCCTGTCCTAGTGTCTTCCCAAGGATTTTAGTAATAGGCTCTATTCTTCAGCATACTTATTCCTGAAACAACTGGTCACCGATTTTATTAACCACCGAATCCCCAAACTTCCACCAACACATTTCTAGGAATCAACTCCCAAAACTTTTACAAAACTTCACTGTCACTACACTCCACTCCATCCTGGCTCCAATTTAATCCAGCATTCCCATAAGCATCACTATGGGAACACTAAATTTGGAAGGTCCCACCAATAGGATGGTTTTTCTAAGGCTTTCAGGGGTCACCGAGCTTGTCTCTGTATGTTGACTCGGAGAGAAATTAGCAATTATTGTCTAGTTGTGTAAGTGTGGCTAAAAAAGATCAGAATATAAAGCTGTGTCATCTATCCAAGCAGGCTTTCCCAATCAGCTGCTGTCTACCTGCCCTTTTGGAGTTTATATTCGCTCCAAATATCTTCACTCTGAAAGTAACCCTCTTCTTGTCAGTTAGCCACAACAGGGTAGGTCAATCCACTGCTGCTTTCCAAGAGTGAAAGTCAGATAACATCTGAGCTGGAGGGGGTCTGAGAGAGAAAGTAGCTCAGTACCATGCTTGATCAGCAGGATGCTGAGGCCTGGAGAGGAGGAAGTGACTTTTCTAAAGCCACACAGGAAAGTAGGAGAAATGCCTCTTTAAACCCCTGCCACACTGGGGCCTCCCTGGTGGCGCAGGGGTTAAGACACAACCTATAAAGCTATCCGCAGCCACTGCAGCACGAGTTCGATCCCGGGTTGGCCAGGGAGCAACCCACATGGTGCCGCAGACCTCTCCTGACTCGCCCGCTGCTCCCCTCAGCAGAGTACTTCGGTCAATCCACCTGTTCTGTTCCCCACTCTGTCTCTGGTGAATCCTCTCACCCCCTACACCTCTGGCCTGTACCCCAGTTCTTGTATACATAAATAAATCTTTGGAAAAAAAAAAACAAACCAAAAAACCCTGCCACACTGTTAAAATAAAAGATATTTTCTCTGCAACTGCCTCACTTCAGCAGGGCCAAGGTCACCAGAGGTCTAAAGCCGCTGCTGAGTTCTCTGACACAGGGGTAGGAAACAGCAAAGGAGCACATCCTTTCAGCCAGCCTGGGGACTCCTGACACGGTGCAGCACTTGGGTGGTGCAGTATCACTTCCAATTAGCAAGAGCTGCTGGAAATACCCAACTGGTAGCTGGACCTTGAACAAGAGCTCCGAGAGGACGTATGCTAGAAGGACCTGCGGAAAAGCAGGTGTGTCCTCTTGGTCACAAGCACATTCACAGACAGCAGGTGACCATCAGGAGTGGCACAGACTGTGTAGACCAACAGAAATCCTCCAGGAAGAGGACGTGACCCACCACCCCTCCGTGCCTCACCATTATACAAGGCAGAGTTCACCACGCCTCCAGCAACAGCTAATGCCAGGCCAAACTTGCCGATGGACTCAAACACTTTGGCAGCCATGTCTCCTCCTGCTGGACCCACTCACACCTACAGAGGTAAAAACAAAACAACTTGATCCCCAAATCCTCAGCGAAAGCCCTCTCTGAGGCACATTATTCACTTCTTAAGCTGGCTATTTATTTTCCCCACTCTTGAGAGCTTTGAGTCAACCACCAAAGGTCACCCAATACATAACACTCTACAGCTTGGAAAAGTGTAGTGGATCAATTCCTCTGCCTTTTCTACTTCTTTCTTTCTTTCTTTTTTTACCTGGGGAAGGAAAGGGGTCTCTGGCTTTCTGTTCAATAACGGGAAGGAGACATGGACTTGGCACCCCTAGAGAATTCAGCATCACATTTAACCACCTTTCCATTTCTTGGACAAACAGGCCCTAAGAGAAAGGCTGTGTGTTTGTTTCTGTGCAATTTTGGTTTGGAAAATTAACTCAAAGAATGTGGTACATGATGATTCCAACAGCAAAAGGAACAGTGACGGCTTTTACCTGAGGCAGTCTCCTAGCGGCAACTGAATCTTCCACAAGACCCTAACGAAGTAGACTTTTACAGACGAGGCAACTGAGGCGCACACCGGTAAGATGAGAAGCTCAAGATCACATAGCTGTAAGTGTCCGAGGCAGGACTGGGGTCTGGAGGTCTAATTCCACACACAGCTAAACGCCACCATACTGCTTCTCAACACTAGACAGTAACAAAGGTCTGGCAGCAAGGAGCGGGAGCTGGATGACACTCTAGGACCGAGCCAACAGAAGAACCAACGGGGCACAGGGGCCAACCCGCCCCACAGCGAGGGCGAGGCGGGGCAGAGCGAGGCTGGGCGGGGACTCAGCTGGCCTAACTAGAAGGCAGTGGGGGCGCCTAACTTTCCAATGCCCGCCCCGCCGCCGTTCGCGACGGTCTCAAATGCTCCCTCTTGCCCAGACCCCGACTCCTGGGACTCCCCAGATGCCCCCCGCGCACTTCAATACCCCTTTCCCGAGGCCAGACCCCCAGTGCCGGCGGCTTCGGGACGACGCCCCACCCTGCCCCCTACACACTCCCGTACTCCACGAAACCCTCTGCACGTCCAGGGCTCACGGCCTTTCCCCTCCCCCACGAGGCAGACCCAAACACGCAGCGCGCTCGCCCAAACTGCGAACGCGGGTGCAGAGGAGGGTTATAGAGGAGGAGCGCAGCGGCGCCCCAGCAAGGACAGGAGCCAGCCCCCCGCCTTTCTCACCTGCTTCCACTCTGACCTCCACATGAATTTCTCAGCCCCAGAATCTGCGCGTGCGTCCGGCGGCTCCTCCTCTTCCCCGCCCACCATCCAAGATACGCGCCTCCTATTGGTGGGAAGGAGAGCTGTGTATTCTGGGAAGGGTGGCTGGCTTACCTATCTTGGTTCCTAAGCCCATGGTAGATGAACTACAACTCCCAGAAATACATGCGGCATCCGGCTCTAGCTGAAAAACCTTTTCTCATTGGTCTTAAGCTCCGCGAAGGTTGCCACAAAGCCTTTTGGGGGCTGTAGTTCTTTGGGGATAAATGCACGTGCCTATCCCGAGCCAAAGCAGGTGGCTGACAAACTGTGGGCCCTAAGGCCCTTGTAAAGAGTAGCCGCCAAGCGAGCGGCCAGTGGGGGGATGGATAGGGGACGTTACGGACGATGGCAGACAACGAGAGAAATTTATGGTGAAATAACTGGTGGACTGAGAGACCCTGAGGGAAGGCGAGGGTTGTTTTTTCTCCAGAGCCTTGAGAGTAAAGCCCTGAGAGTAATGGGACAGAGCTTGCAGAGCCAGAGAGAACCTTAGGAACCATCTGCACGAGATGGTGCAGGAGACTTAGGAGATCTGGAGTCTTAGCAGACGGACTTGGCTTTGTTTCTGGGGTCCCTGGATACAATTACATGGAAAAGTTGCCGGAATAGTGTAAAAAACATGTGTGTCATTTACTCAGTCTCCAATTGCTAACAGTTTGCTCCACTTGCTTTGTCATTTGCCCCCTCCCTCTTTCCTTCCCACCTTTTCTTTGTGGTGTATTTTCTAAGACCAAGGACCCCATCCCTATATAACTAATCTACCCACTGTGTCCCAGTTTTGTTCACTGACCAATAATGAACTTGATAACAATCCTCTCCTACTCCCAACCCCCACACCCTTGCAGGATTCAGGCTAAGATTAGGCACCGCATTTATTTCTCTTGTCTCTGTAGCTTCCTATAATCTGAAACTTGTTCTCAGCCTTTCTTGTCTCTTATTACATTAAAGCAGGAAATAGAATGTTTCTCTTTTTGGGTTTGTCTTATGTTTCCTCAGGTTTAGGTTCAGGTTTTGCATTCTTAGCTGGAATAGAATCTTAAGTGCTATCTGGACACTTACTTTTGATGCAATCTGGCCCATTTCTGGATTCCAGTAGGATTAGATTATTTTCGCTCTTTCCCCCCTGAGTTCTCTTCTCTCCTTTTGTAACAGGGTGGTCCCCAGGAAAGGGGGAAGTTCCAGGTTCCCTGCCCCACCCAAGGGAGGGTGGAGCTGAGCAGGAAGAGGAGAAGCTGGAGAAGAGACTGAGGAAGGAAGCAGGATGGAGCCAGGAGACCTGGAGGAGGCGCATGGAGCCTAGAGACACGTGAAGAAACTGCGCTTGTCTTTTGGTCGTGGACTAGGTGACACAGATGTGGGTGAGACCCATGGGGAGGTGACAATGGCAGCTTTTATCTTGATGTTGATTTTGCTCTTTTCCTTCCGGGCTTGTCTGGTTGTTTGTGACCCTTTTCTGTGGGTCCCCACTGGAAGATGCTTTAGACGTGTGGCAGGCTTTGGGGCCTTGTTCTGGGCCGATCCCATTTGGATGGAATTTTACCCACGAGGGGATGGGTAACTTTGGGTGTTTCATTTAGAAACTAGATTATTTGCTTTTCCTGTATTGTTTCCTAGTTTTATTAAAGTTCCTTCTCATTAAAGTCTCATATGTTTTGTGTTGATGCGGCGGATGGCCGAACCCATTTAGAATAGGCAGGTTTGCGGGGTTTGGGCTGCCCCTCTCCCTGTCCTATAACACTTTCTCCTCTCCTGGCACAACCATGGCTGCCCTCTTCAATCCCAGCTTTTTCTTCCAATTACTAGAATACAACTTTATGAAAGCTAAAAGTTTCAGTTTGCTGTCTTCATTGTTCTAGTCTTAGGATATACAACTGCTTGGCTCACAGTAGGCACTCAATAAGTATTTATTGAATAAATGAATAATAAAGGGTGTTAAAGTGGCTGGCTTGAGCAGGCTGGGCCAGGTGCACAGGACAGGTTTCTCCAGAACCCTGCAAGAATAGCCATAGTGTTGCCTGCGTCTAATCTATAATTTCACTAGCAGGAGTGCTGGATATGTTAAATTTCGGTATATGGTTTTATAATTTTCAAGTCTGGGTATACAGCATCCCACTTTGAGTATCATTACAACACACTATCTCTATTTACAGAGAAGGAAGTTGAGGTTCATGGGTTAAATGAACCATCACTCACCAATTCAGAGCCAGACTGGACCAGGACACAGGTCTTCTAGGTCTCAGCCCTGAATTAGTTCCACTTCTCCACATTGTGTCTTGGGAAGCATATGTGACATGAAATGGAAAAGCTCAGAGGGGAGGAAGAAGGATAAGGATATTGAGGAAGGTATTTGGGAATCAGGGTGATGAGGCAAAAATTAGGGACAGAGCAGCCATGATGCCTCAGCTTTAGGATGGGGTCCCATTTATTGTCACACAGATCATTTCCCCCTTGAGCCCCTCTTCTTAGCCAGGTGTGCAGGTTGGGGATAAGAACAAAGGCATCTTGGACACTGACAGGGCAAGTTGCTTCATCAATACACAATCTTATTTACTCTTTTCATATCACCATTTGGAAGTGAAGAAATGGCAATTCTGAGAAGTCAGATAACTTACAAACAGTCCTGCAGCTGATAAGTTATAGGTATGTCTGATTCCATAGTGTGAACCTTTCCAAGCTGTGGTAACAGGTGGTCAGTCAGATCCAAACTCAGGTTGATTCTACTTCCTAGCTCAGTGCCAACATGGGGAGGGGGTAGTAATTAAAGCGAACAATTAGATAAGAACATCTCTTTTTCTTCATTCATTGAACACACATGTATTAGAAGCCTGTCATATCTCAGACATTGTGCTAGACATGGGGGATTCAATGACAAAGAGGGTGGAGAAGACTCTGTCCTAATGGAGTTTACATTCTGGGGTGAGGGGAAGGTGACAAGCATACAAAAAAAATGATATGAGATCGTGACTAGTTTCTTGAAGAGAGCAAATAGACAATAGGATATGTGAATCGGTAAAGAAGGTTTTGACTGCAACTAATAGAAAAGTGGGCTAAAATGAATTAATTAGAAAATACAGTACAGGCATACCCCAGAGGGGTAGTGGGCTCAGTTCCAGTCCACTGCAATAAAGCAAATACTGCATAAAGCAAGTCATGAGACCCTGGTTACTTAGTGCATATAAAAGTTGTTTATACTATATTGTAGTCTAAAGGTACAATAGCATTGTGCCTAAAAAAAGCATTGTAGGGCCTCCCCGGTGGTGCAGCAGTTGAGCGCTGGGTTGCGAAGCTGCCCGCAGCCTCTGTGGTGCTGGTTTGATCCCCGGCTGCTCCCTGGCCACTGGAGGAGGATCCCACATGGCGCGCAGACCTCTCCTGCCGCCCGCTGCTCCCCTCAGCAGTGTACTTTGGTCCTTCTGCCTGCTCTGCTCCCCGCTCTGGCTCTGGTGAATTCTCTCACCCTCCCGTGCTTCTGACTGTACTCAGTGCTTGTATAAATAAATAAATAAATCTTTGAAAAAAAAAAAACATTGTAATAATTAATAAATACTTCACTACTAAAAAATGAAAGACAAAGCGACTACCTGCTGTTGAAAAATGGCATCTACAGACTTGCATGATGCAGGGTTGTCACAAACCTTCAGTTTGTAAAAAACCTAGTATCTGTGAAATGCAATAAAATGAAGCCCATCTGTATAGCTAGTCCCAGGGTCGGTAGTTCCGGGACTGGTGAATTTAGCGGTTCATCCACTAAATCCATCCATGATGGCATTTTCCCATCTTTTAGCTATGCCATCGTCAGGTGTTGACTTTTGTCCCCTCAGGTCACAAGATGACTTCAGAAGACCCGCGCTTAGTGTTCTCACACAACAATAACTGCAGGCAAATAGGCAGGAAGAACACATGTCACATTTTCGGTCCTTTTATAAGAAGAAAGGAAAGTTTCCAAAAGCACCCACCGCACATCCCTTTATGTATTATTGGGAAGAATCGTATCATCTACCCATTTCTAAACTAGTCCTTGGAAAGGGCCAGCCTTGAATAGTTAACCTCTGGGACCAGGGAGGAAGAGCCCGACTTTTCCTAAACATGATCACTTATCACCCCAACAAACCAAAAGTGGGGTTCTTATTAGCAAAGAATAGGCTGGAAGGGAGGATGGATGTTGGAATTGCAACCAATAGTGTCTGCCACTGGGGGTCTATTTGGACAAGCTGGTCAAGGAGACCTCTATGAGATGACATGAAGGTAAGATCTAAAGAGCTGGGCGATGCCCAGCAGAGAGGTGAGCCCTTGGGCAGAGGAAGAGTGAGCAAATGTGAAGAACAAGGCAAAGCATGACTGATAGATCTGGATGGTCAAGAGTCAGGGAGTCCTTTTATGATTCAGACTGGAAGAGTGGCCAAAGATGCCAGCTCCCCTATGGAGTGA